GAATCTTACCCTGCTTTCTTTAAACTGTCTTTGGATCCGTTCTCTAATCTTGACAAAGCTGATTGGGTCTTCTACAGCACATTTTATGAGCTGGAAACAAGAGGTAATCAAAATTCTTGGCATAAGTTTTATTAGCCAGTGCATGCCCAGGGAGGGTACCCTTACCCCTATCTCAAATGTTCTATTTTATTTTCATGTCTATATTTCTTTTGAGTTGCATATATTTTGTGACTATATGAATGAATTCATTCCCTTGATAGGGAGACGCGTCAACAATACTGCTAGAGTCACTAAATTAATTACCTGTCCAAGGAATTATGTATTTGAAGTCTCCAAAATTTAATGACTTTGACCTTATATTTTTAAGATAACACTTTCCTTTTATGCGCATAGGCGGTGGATTGGATGGCAAAATTTTGGCCATTGAGGACGATTGGACCAACCATACCATCCATGTACCTGGATAAGCGTCATGAAGAAGACAAGGAATATGGTCTCAGCCTCCTAAAGCCATATGTGTCGTTCGGCAGTGTGGCAAAACTCGGAGAAGAGAAAGTGGAGGAACTTTGTTTGGGTTTGAGGAGAAGCAAACACTATTTCTTGTGGGTGGTGAGGGCATCAGAATCAGCTAAGCTGCCAAAAGGGTTTGCAGAGGAGACATCTGAAAAGGGTTTGGTGGTTTCATGGTGCCCTCAATTGGAAGTGTTGGCACATGAGGCTGTAGGATGCTTCGTCACACATTGTGGTTGGAACTCTACTTTGGAGGCCTTGAGTTTAGGAGTTCCAATGGTGGCAGTGCCACAGTGGGTTGACCAGAGCACCAATGCCAAGTTCATCATGGATGTGTGGAAAATAGGGCTTAAAGCTCAAGCTGATGAGAAAGGGATAGTGAGAGGAGAAGAAATTGCACATTGTGTGACAGAAATATTGGAGGGGGAGAGAGGGAAAGAGATTCGAAAGAACGTTTTGAAGTGGAAAGCATTGGCCAAGAGTGCAGTGGATGAAGGTGGAAGTTCTGATAAAAACATTGATGAGTTCATTGCAAAACTGGTTCAGAATCAGAACTAGCTAGGCAAAGCTGTGGTGTATTTCTGAAAAAAATTCCTTGTACAAGTCCTCTTGTGGAAAATGTTACTAGGGACTGATTAATAATTTCCATGACTAATAATTTTTAAAAGTCAGAAATTTGTGTCTTCACTATTAAAATAATTATACATAATACTATAAATTATACAAACAAAACACTTATTTATAGATGCTGCCATTGTCCAACTGCCACCCGACTTGGCTACTAACATATGAATATGGTTTGAATACTTTAAGTTAATTGTATTCTTCTTCGTAAGGAGATATATATAGGAGTTTACAAATAGTGCTTTACAAGTAAATAGATACAGGAATTAAATAGGAGAATATCTCCTAATTATACAAGGATTGTCAACTATATGAAAAAAGAAAATAAATCTCTTTGATTTGTTAGGTTAACTCGCGTCAACATTGGCTTCTTCTCCTAGCCACTAGTTTACAAGATATTTTTTAGGATTTTCAGAGAATGGCTACAACAATTATGTCTTGAAAGCTATGCTTGCCGATTTTGTCAAAGTGGGTGTACATCTCTCGAGTTCTCCACATTTCACTAGATTTTTCCTCAAATGAGCATTAACTTTAAACAAAAACAAAAAAAATGCCAGCCCAATTTATACACGAGGATTTTCAAGCGTACAATTAGTGAATCAGTCAACTTGATAGAAGGACTAAATATAATTTAAGACAGGTAAAATGAATTCAGAAAAGCAGAAAACAAGAGCACAACTGTTACTGGCTAGGCTGAGTTCAACTTTTAAATCTTCGTGCGAACACCACCAAATAACGGACACTAGGAGCTCTTGGAAGGAAAAAACAAAAAGAAAAAGGAAAACCAAAACCAAAACCAGCTGCTGCTGCTATAACTACCTTGTTTGAGCTCAAAACCTTAACAAAACTAATTGGCTTCTTTTGAGACCCACAAGGCTCCAAAGGTAATCCACAAAGTCCAGGATTGTTTGCGTAAGAGTCCACTGTAATTGATATACCATTATTAAAGTTTGGGACTGGGCCAGACAGCTGATTGTTGGCCACACTAAATGTTTTAACCCTATTAAGCCGGCCAAGTTCTGGAGGAATGGTACTCGAGAACTTGTTGTTGTCAAGCTTAAGCACATTCAGATAGGTGCAATCGGAAAGGTTCGTTGGGATTGGCCCTGTGAAGCTGTTAGATGAGAGATCAAGGGTCGTAATGAACGAAATGATTTTACAGATATCCGTAGGAAGAGGTCCATTGAGCTGGTTGCTTGAAAGATCTAACCCTGTTAGGCTTGTGCAATTTGCTACGCCTCGAGGAAACGAGCCCTTCAGTCCCAAATCCGAAAGCTTGATGTTTAAGAGGAAACGAGCCCTTCAGTCCCAAATCCGAAAGCTTGATGTTTAAAACATTACTCCTGTCTGGGTTCCAGCACTCGATTCCCAGAAAGTTACAGATGGAACCTTCAGTGTTGTTGTTGAAATCCCAGGAAGAGTTTAAGTAACCTAAAGTGTCCTGAAGTGATGCCTTTATACTTTTTAAGCAGTTGATATCACTCTCAACACCAAAGCTGAAACTACAACTAAGCAATAACCAGAGGACACCACCAATAAAAATGCCGGGATCTCGTCCATTCAACAACATATGCATCAAGAAAGCCATGAAAATGGGATAATGGGCTAAAAGAAAAGAAGAAGAAAAAAAGTGCTATTTAGTTCATGAAGCCAAAGATCAGAGCTAAAGATAGCAGTGAAGACCTCAAATTCTCTGGCTTTTTATAACCACTGGACATGAAAGAACCCTGATAAGGGTTTAAAAATCAACGACACAAATTAATGAAAAGGCTCCCAAGTGGTCAGCACATGCATTAAAAATCAAGAGTGGTTTATACGTCCAATGGTATATCCTGGCTCTCTTTGAAGGGTTTATGAAAGTGAGGGAAGGAGACGGGCTCATCGGGCTATTTGGAGGCCACTCCTTTCGTCGAAAGCTTAGGGACGACTTGGACTGTTGACTATTGACTACCCATAGTGTTCGTCTGCCCTTTTTTTCCTTTCCTTTTTTTCTTTGCCGACCTTCATGAGATGACTCAGTCTCATCTTAGAATTTTACTTGCTCAAACATGGGAAAAACAGAGAGGATACAACTCAAACTACTAAAAATTCGACAATTACAAATGAAGAAGAAAAAGAAACCCAATTAATCATCTTGGTGTCTCGTGATATATATACACACGATGAGAATGCAAATATTTATTAATCTTGTTTTCTTGTGATATATATACACACAATGAGAGCATGTCTCTCTTGCTCCTCACATGATTAAAAGACATACTCAACCAGTGTACATCACAAGTAGGTACAAAAAAGTTTTTCTTCATAAGCCCGTTTTGAGAAAGAAAAAAAAAGCAATATAAAGCAAGCATAAGGGGTGCCACCATAAGAAATTAAGGGGCGCAGCGCAACCACACAAACTAATTAAAAGGCTCCCCCGGTCAACATATGCATTGAAAAAGCAAGAGTGGTTTATACGTCCAATAGTATATCCTGCCTCTCTTTGGAGGGTTTATGAAAGTGAGGGAAGGAGGTGAGCGCTTCTGTTTGGAGGCTACCCCTTTTGTCAAAAGCTTGGGTATATCTGCTTATATTTTCTATTGACAAAGAGATGGTAAAAAAACTTGATTATGTAAGGTTAAGCGATACTTTTAGTAGGAAAATGGGGCTCAAAGCTCAAGCTGATGAGAAAGGGATCGTGAGGCGAGAAGAAATAGCAAATTGTGCCCCTAGTAAATGCCTTCTCACGAAATGAATTAAATATAAATAATTTGGATTATATAAAGCCTTCTCACGAAATGAATTGGTAATTTCATTTGTCATTTCACCAAGTAGTTTCGTATTATTTCTGTAAAAAAACTTGATTATGTAATGTTAAGCGGTACTTTTAGTAGAGTGGAAAACGGGGCTCAAAGCTCAGAAAGGGATCGTGAGACGAGAAGAAATAGCAAATTGTGTGAGAGAAATATTGGAAGGGGAGAGAGGGAAGGAGATTCGAAAGAACCCTTCGAAGTGGAAAGAATTGGCCAAGAATGCAGTGGATGAAGGTGGAAGTTCTGATAAAAACATTGATAAGTCCATTGCAAAACTGGTTCAAAACTACTAGCTTGCTTTTCGTAGAGTTACTGTAAGATAGTTTATTATCCCAATCCTTACAGAATTGGTCTTCTATTCATTATCGGATTGCAAGACTCAACACACCTCTCGACCTGCAGCCTCTGTATCAGTGTTCCATATGGATTACAAGGCTAAAGGGGTTTCTAGTTCTATGAGAATTAGGATTAACAGTTCTATAGCAATAAGGATACCTCAAGGAGTCTCTTGATGGGCAAGACTCCTTGAGTGATGCATATAAATAGAGCAGCTCCCTCTAAGAGCCGATACACATAAAATCTCATCAAGTAATTCACCCCATCTGGAATTTGAGAATAAGGCAGTCGGTTATCTTAGAGAAGAGCTGTCTCTCAAGTGTTTTGATACTGTCTCCCAAGTGTTCGATAAAAGGCTTCAATGGCAGAACAAGGTTAGTGTTCAAGTTATAATAGCTTTAAAGTTTACATGTGGTATCAGAGCTTAAGTTATTTTATCTTCTACCTAACCATTTTTGTTGCAGCATTTAGAACTTGAAAACTGAAGGATAATTAAGTTTTCAAGGTTAAAGAAACTTGACACAGCAAGAGTTAAAGTTAACACCTTGCTGTGACAAGCAGAAATTGATCAAAGGTTTGTATAGTTCTTGCCGTGTTCTGAGCAAGCCAAAGCAACTCAGACACAACAAGATCTGTACATTCAAAGTTTCATGATCAAACTTGTGTTGAAAATAAACGCATAATGAATGATTCACTGTCCAAAGATGTGAATAATTTATCATGCAATTATTTTCAGCAGAACAGCATAAGAGATGAAACATGTAGGCTATCAAGGTTGTTCTTCTATCCAAAGATGTTGAACCTTTCTTGTACAGGAAGCTTATGTGATTTTCATGTCTTAGTGTTGATAAACATGTTTTGATTTTTTCACCTAAAGGTGAGAATCGATCATGTTTTTAAGTTCTGGGGTTTTTCAGTTTTAAACATATATATACTATGTGTTTTTCAGTTAATCACAACTCGATTGAAACTCTCATTGGCTCCAACTACACAAAATGGAGGGAAGATGTGGAAATTGCTCTAGGATTGCTAGATTATGAGATGGTCATTGAAGAAGAAGCTCCTGCAAAACCTGCTGCTACTGCATCTGCTGAAGCAAAAGCAAAATATGCAAAATGGATTAAAGCCAACAAGATGGCTATTCTAATCATGAGGAGATCAATTTCACCATCTGTCAGGGGAAGCATCACACCATCTGATAATGCCAAGAAGTTCATTGATTCTATTGTGGAAAAATTTCAGGAATCCAAGAAAGCTGAAATTGGTACGTACTCTAATGGCACAACTCACTGATGCAAAATACAATGGGGAGAAGTGTGTAAGAACACACATACTGAATATGCTGGAAATTGGGAACAAGCTGCAAGCACTCAAAGTCAATGTGGATGAAAATATGATGGTACACTTTGCAATAAATTCTCTGCCAAGCACTTTTAAGCACCTTAGAAGCACCTATGTGGCACAGAAGGAAATATGGACAGTAACTGACCTCATAGGCATCTGTGTGCAGGAAGAACAAAATATGAAGAAAGATAAGGCTGAAGAAAGGGTTAACATGGTTCACAACTTCAAACCCAAAAAGGATTTTGGAAAGGGTAAAACTGCTTGGAAGAAAAACAAGGAAGAAAAGGAAACCAAGGGGCTAGAACCAGAAGGTTTCAAGTGTTACTTCTGTAAGAAATTTGGTCATATGAAGAGGAATTGTGACAGATACAAACGCTGGCTGGAAAAACAGAAGGCTAAAGGTAAGTCTGGTCAAGTAAATGTTTGTTTTGAGTCTAATGCAATTGAGATTTCTTCAGATTCATGGTGGTTGGATAGTGGTGCAACAGTTCATATGGCTAATTGTTTGCAGGGGTTCAAAACAAAGAGGCTGCCAAACAAGGCTGAGATGAAAGTGTTCGTGGGAAATGGAGAAAGAGTCAAGGTGGAATACATTGGATTAGCTAGGATTGAGTTAGAATCTGGTTTTGTTTTGGAATTAGTAGATGTAGTTTATATTCCTTCTATGAAAAGGAATCTTATTTCAATTAGCAAGCTTGTAAAGTCAAACTTACAGTTTGAGTTTGATGAGTCTGGGCTCTCCATTTTCAGAAATAAAGTTATGATTGGTAATGGTTTTCTAAATGATGGAATGTTTCGATTAAACTGCAAGAAACCAAATCCCAGCACTGGAAATCTAAGCATCAATGTGATAAGCACTAAAAGAAAAGCAGAAAAAGAAGAACCTTATAAACTTTGGCACAAGAGACTAGGACATGTCTCGGCTGAAAGAATGAATTTGCTTAACAAAGAAAATCTGTTGCCACCACTTAACCACCATGACAAAGACAGTGTTTGCATAGAATGTGTTAAAGGGAAATTGACAAATTTGAGAAAGAAAGGTGCTACAAGAAGTGAAAAAGTGCTGGAAATCATACATACAGACATTTGTGGTCCTTTTCCCACTCAAACACATGATGGTTTTAAGTATTTCATAACTTTCACGGATGACTTCTCAAGATATGGTTATGTATACTTAATATCTGAAAAATCAAATGCACTAGACATGTTTAAAGTCTACAAAGCAGAGGTAGAAAACCAGCTGGATTCAAAAATCAAAGTAGTAAGGTCAGATAGAGGAGGAGAATTTTATGGAAAATTTGATGAGAGAGGAAGGAACCCTGGACCTTTTGCCAAATTTCTACAAGAAGAAGGTATAGTGGCTCAATACATTAACCCAGGCACACCACAACAAAATGGAGTGGCAGAGAGACGAAATAGGACCTTGATGAGATGATTAGGAGCCTAATGTGCTGCACAAAGCTTCCAAAATTTCTTTGGGGAGAGGCCTTGAAAACAGCAAACTATTTGCTGAACAGAATTCCTACGAAAAGTGTGAATAAAATCCCTTATGAATTATGGTGCAACAGAAAACCAAGTCTCTCACATCTCAAAATCTGGGGAAGCAAGGCAGAAGCAAAGTTTTATAATCCATCATAAAAGAAACTAGATTCCAAGACAGTTAGTTGCTACTTCGTGGGATATCCAGACAGAACCAAAGGGTACAGATTTTATTGTCCTAACAACAACACAAGGTTTATGGAAACACAGAGAGCAATTTCATTGAGGATGAAAGTGAACAAGGCACTGATGAAAATTTTGATTTTGATGAATTTTTGGAAGGTGAGGGATTTACAAGAAAAGAAGATCTGATAAGAGAAACAACAATATTGCCATTCACTGATTCGAGTGACAAACAAATCTCACCAGTTCATGATGAAAGAAATTTAGAAGAAAATCAAATGACTGAAGCTCAGCAAACTGAAACAGAAAATATGCAGATAGATCAACAAGAACAGCAGCCTCACAATTTAGAATTGAGAAGGTCACAGAGAACTAAGAGACCTGCTCTATCAAATGATTATTATGTCTATCTGCAAGAGTCAGAACATGACATCAATACCATAGAAGACCCTTTGTCTTATAAGCAGGCCATTCAAAGTGACAACTGTGATAAGTGGATAGAAGCAATGGAGTCTGAACTCCAGTCAATGAGCAAGAATGGCGTATGGAAGCTTGTTGACTTACCTCAAGGATGTAAACCAATAGGATGCAAGTGGGTTTACAAGACCAAAAGAAACTCAAAGGGACAAATAGACAGATATAAGGCACGGCTAGTAGCAAAAGGGTTCACACAACAAGAAGGAGTGGATTACAATGAGACTTTCTCACCTGTGTCAACATTTGTATGAATCAAAGTGTTGAATTCGTTGATTTTTTGTTTGAACAAAGTATGAACAAGCATGAACAAGCATGAACATGAGCGCCAATCTGTTGGCACTAAAAACTGAACAGATGGAGATGAGTGCAACTTACAAGTGGGATGGGCGATCAAGAGATCGATTGGATGTTGGATGCCGTTTCTTCCTGTCCTTGGATGCTGATCCTGAATAGAAGATAAGCGAAGCTCGTGAGGTCTATGGAACCGGTGTGGAACCAGCCTAAGACCCTCCGATGCTCAAGTAAGATTGTTTTTAAGAGCTCTTCTGTTGACCATATAGTAGTATATAAGTCAAGCTGAAAATTCTTACCCCTGTATTGTAGTGGAGGGGCCTATTTATAGAGGGCATTTAGTATGCTCTTAGTACTCATTTCCGATGTGGGACTCGTGGGAGGGCCCTATGAGGTTGACACGAGTGTTTAGATATTTCTGGCGGGTGCTTCGAGGCTGATTCTGTAGAATCGGTATGGGATACCGATTATAGGCTGTGTTGGGCCTGCAGCGGCTGTTCGTGGCTTTGAGGCAATGCCATCGGTGGTGATTGCCGATTGTCCGAGGCCTTGGGTACTTGGGCGAGTTTATGAGATCCACGTGTCGTTGCACGAGTGGAGGGTCAGATATGGTACAAACACAACCAAAGATTCCTTAAAGGTTATAATGGCATTAGTGGCACATTTTGATCTTCACCTTCATCAAATGGATGTTCAAACTGCATTTTTGAATGGAAACCTTATTGAAGAAATCTACATGAAGCAACCGGATGGTTTCATTCAAAAAGGGGAAGAAGATTTGGTTTGCAGGTTACAAAAATCAATATATGGATTAAAACAGGCTTCTAGGCAATGGTACTTGAAGTTTGATGAAGTGGTGAAGTCTCAAGGTTTCACTGACAATCCTTTAGATGAGTGCATTTACCTAAAATTTCAAGGGAGACATTACATTTTCATGCTGCTGTATGTTGATGATATTCTCTTAGCAAGCAGTAATCTGTCACTATTACATGACACTAAGAGAATGCTATCAAACCATTTTCAGATGACTGACTTAGGAGAAGCAAACTATGTATTAGGAATTGAAATAAGTCGAGATAGAGAAAGAGGGTTACTTAGTCTATCACAGAAGGGATATATAGAAAGGATACTGAAAAGGTTCAACATGGAAAACTGCACAGGTTGTGATGTTCCATTCTCGAAGGGTGATAAATTGAGTAGTGAACAATCTCCCAAAACTGAGCAAGAGAAGTTGGAGATGCAGGACAAGCCCTATGCATCACTTGTAGGAAGCTTGATGTATGCTCAAGTTTGCACAAGGCCAGACCTTGCTTTCAGCATTAGTGTTCTTGGAAGGTTTCAATCCAATCCAGGTCAGGCACATTGGGTAGCAGGCAAGAAAGTTCTGAGGTATTTGCAGAGAACTAAAGAGTATAAGCTAATCTATCGAAGAGTTGAAGAATTGAAACTAGAAGGATATGCAGATGCAGATTTTGCTGGCTGTTTGGATACACAGAAGAGTACATCAGGTGTTGTATTTTTGTTTGCAGGAGGAGCAGTGGCTTGGAGAAGTGTAAAACAACAATACATATCAACCTCAACCATGTAGGCTGAGTTTTTAGCAATTTATGAAGCTACTTCAATAGCTATGTGGCTTAAAAAAATTTTGTCAATGTTAAAGGTCGTGGATTCTATACAAAAGCCAATCCAATTGTGGAATGACAACAATGCATCAATTTATTTTGCAAAAGGAAATAAGAGGTCAGGAGGATTAAGACACCTGCAGTTAAAGTTGTTATCAGCCAAGGAAAATATCCGAGATGGTTATACAGCCTTAGATCATATTGGAACAGATTTCAATATTGCAGATCCCCTGAACAAAGGCTTGCCTAATCATGTTTTTCATAGGCATGTTAAAAGTATGGGTTTATAGATCAGTTTTGATGCTTGAAGTCTGTGGGAGTCAGTGGGAGCCAGTTTTAGTTTTATTTTCTTTTAGCTAGTTTAATCGAGATTGTTTTACGCACCCTTATGTGGGCCATTTCACACAAAAGTTTATTTTTCAAGTCATCATTCATAGATCATCTCAACAAAAGTTTGTTCAAATTTTTAAAAAAAAAAATTTAACATCTCATTTGAAGATAGTCATTTTAATATTTCAAAAATGATCTATGAATGAACACTTCAAAATTAAACGATTTGGTTCATTGAAAAAGAATATTGGATGAGCCCCACAATGTGCCTTTCAAATAAGCTTATTTAAGAGATGGAATAACATGAGAGTATATATAAACCCTAGAGAGGCAGAGAGATGGAATAGGATTCATGGAAAGTGAACCCAAGTGGTCTTCTTATATAAACTCATGTGACATGTGTAAGATAGTTTATTATCCCAATCCTTACAGAATTGGTCTTCTATTCATTATCGGATTGCAAGACTCAAGATTGATCAAGAACTCAACACACCTCTCGACCTGCAGCCTCTGTATCAGTGTTCCATATGGATTACAAGGCTAAAGGGGTTTCTAGTTCTATGAGAATTAGGATTAACAGTTCTATAGCAATAAGGATACCTCAAGGAGTCTCTTGATGGGCAAGACTCCTTGAGTGATGCATATAAATAGAGCAGCTCCCTCTAAGAGCCGATACACATAAAATCTCATCAAGTAATTCACCCCATCTGGAATTTGAGAATAAGGCAGTCGGTTATCTTAGAGAAGAGCTGTCTCTCAAGTGTTTTGATACTGTCTCCCAAGTGTTCGATAAAAGGCTTCAATGGCAGAACAAGGTTAGTGTTCAAGTTATAATAGCTTTAAAGTTTACATGTGGTATCAGAGCTTAAGTTATAATAACTTTGCACCGAATACATGTGGTATCAGAGCTTAAGTTATTTTAAAGTTTACATGTGGTATCAGAGCTTAAGATAAACTTTGAATACATGCAATTTTGCATTTTCTTCACATAGATGTACACTATTTTGAATTATGAAATCTAAATTTAACCTTATGATTAGAAAAGTTTAGGGAGATACAAGACCAAATCATTTGCATATAATTTTCAAGGTGTTAGGTTTAGGATTCTTAGAGTTGGCTTTCCTTGCCAAATGTACACTTTCATGTAATTCCTCTTAGCTACTCTTTAGAAATTAGGCCTTTGGTATTTTCTACAAAGTTGAAGTACATTGAAGAGCTTATGAGGCTACAAAACCAAAATAATTTGTATAGTCATTTACAAAAAAAAAAAAATTATTTAATTTCTTTTTGTAAACACTTTGCGAGACGAAACACACTTCGTCGCGCAAGACTTTGTGCACCGAATATTTGTGTTTCGTCGCGCAAAGTCATGCAAAGATTTTTAAAAATAATTTTTTATTTTCTTTATTTTTGTAAAGACTTTATGAGACGAACCACACTTCGTGGCGCAAGACTTTGTGCACCGAATTTTATTGTTTCGTCGCGCAAAGTCATGCAAAGATTTTTAAAAATAATTTTTTATTTTCTTTATTTTTGTAAAGACTTTACGAGACGAACCACACTTCGTCGCGCAAGACTTTGTGCACCGAATTTTATTGTTTCGTCGTGCAAAGTCATGCAAAGATTTTTAAAAATAATTTTTTATTTTCTTTATTTTTGTAAAGACTTTACGAGACGAACCACACTTCGTCGCGCAAGACTTTGTGCACCGAATTTTATTGTTTCGTCGTGCAAAGTCATGCAAAGATTTTTAAAAATAATTTTTTATTTTCTTTATTTTTGTAAAGACTTTACGAGACGAACCACACTTCGTCGCGCAAGACTTTGTGCACCGAATTTTATTGTTTCGTCGTGCAAAGTCATGCAAAGATTTTTAAAAATAATTTTTTATTTTCTTTATTTTTGTAAAGACTTTACGAGACGAACCACACTTCGTCGCGCAAGACTTTGTGCACCGAATTTTATTGTTTCGTCGTGCAAAGTCATGCAAAGATTTTTAAAAATAATTTTTTATTTTCTTTATTTTTGTAAAAACTTATGAGACGAACCACACTTCGTCGCACAAGACTTTGTCCACGAATTTTAGTGTTTCGTCGCGCAAAGTTACTTTGAGCGACGATTCTTTGTCGTCGTGCAAAGTGACTTTATGCGACGATTTGTGTTTCGTTGCTCAAAATTTAGTCGCGTAAGACTTTGAGCGACGAATTGTGTTTCGTCGCGCAAAATTTGGTCGCGCAAGGGGTTTTTTTAACTAGTGTACTCATCTCATTTGAAAATTTGTTTCTTGCAAAAAGAATTCAAAATAAAACCATATATTTATATATATAAATATTTTAGCATATTTTCACAAAAACATAAGTGATATGGTGGTTAAGGTGTTGAAGGAGTAAAATGGTAGGGGTTCGAATCCCTCAATGCGCAACAGGGGAGGCTTTTCAAAAAATTTCATGTATTTTTTGGGTTTCGTATTGGGATATTATCGATAATATCTCGATATATTGCCCAAATCATTCATAAAAATGTTAAAGTTATCTCCCCTGATAATATCGGAATAATATCGATATATTGACGATAACAACATGGTTAGTTGCTAAAATATCGGCCCCCCAAAAAATAAGATATTATCGGGATAATATCGCCGATAATATCAATATTTAATGCCTTCTACATGTCATTTTACATACATTGACCGTATATTTAAAAAAGAAAATAGAAAATTGATTTGGGCTTTTTCTCCCAGTTTATCACAAAAAATATGTAATATAGAAATAGAAAATTATATTCTCATCCACAGTTTGTGACATTTCCTTCGCAGAAGAATTAACAATGCAATAATGCAACGGAAGTTTCATTAAATAAAGTCAATGATTTTTTTGTTTAAGTTACATTTAATCAATAGTCAAATTTCTGGTTTTATGAATTTTGACTTTTATGATCTGAAAAATGAGCATTTTTGCTTACCACTTTAACCTAATGTGTATGCTCACAACCCTTTTCAATACTTGACATTTGTCCATAAGCATGGATGTACACTATTGATGTACACTATTTTGCGTTCTTCACATGGGTGCACACTATTTTGAATTATGAAATCTGAAAATTTAACCTTATGATTAGAAAAGTTTAGGGACATACAAGACCAAATTATGTGCATATAATTTTCAAGGTGTTAGGTTTAGGATTCTTAGAATTGACTTTTCTTGCCAAATGTACAATTTCATGTAATTCCTCTTAGCTAATCTTTAAAAATTAGGCATTTGTATTTGCTACAAAGTTGAAATACATTGAAGAGCTTATGAGGCTACAAAACCAAAGTAATTTGTACAGTCATTTGTAATGGGCATCATTAGGAAAATCAACTTTTGCATCAAAACACTTTGTTTAGATGACTAGTCATATATGTAGGTCAAATATTTCCAACACGGGATTTTTCATCAAGGCATGTGATAACTAACTCATGCTAAAAGTTTCCCTTTCAAGTATCTAAATATTTGGGAGCAGTTGAGAAAAAAAAAAAAAAAAAAA